CAATCCAGACCTACAAAATCAAAATGTGCATTTTATAGGCACATTAAAATTTGCTAAACCCTCACCTACAGGATTAAACAGCATTCAGAGACAGAGGAAAAAACAATTCCTCTTTGAAGATCTGCCACTATTTAACCTTGGGAAAGGTCAACCAAAATGTGACCTTCCTCATATATAAAACAAAGGCTTGGAAATGGCCCCCGCTTGCTCTAAAATCCTTTTAGTCCATAAAAAGACAAGAAGAATATCTGAATTTTCAATCCGTTTATCAGCTGCCACAGGATTTTTATATGGAGAGCTAAGGATTGCATACTTATTGCAGAACTATCACACTTCAAAGTTGAAAACCATTAAAAAAAGTTTTCAGTAGCCAATAATTACAAGATATAACAGCTAAGCAAAAAAAAAAAAAAATTCTAAGTGAACATTAATTTTTCTCTATTAACTGACCAAAAGATTCCACAAACACTTAAAACTTTTTGGTCAAAATTGTTATTAACCAATGACTATTTAAAACTTAATTAGACCTGAATAATCCTACAGAATTATAAAAATACCATACTGTATCAATACATATGTAGTCCTTCAGATTGGTAACAACTTTACAAAGTTATCCTGTATCAACTGCTGAGAGAGAAGCAATCAAATTTGAGGATCAGCTCGGTGCTTCAATTGCTATTTATCATGAACTTACCTCTTTTGGTGTTAAAACAATTGAGTTTTATAGAACAGTAAAAGAAAAAAAAAACCACCTCTATGTGCATCCTAGCTTTGTTACTACAATAATTTAAAAATATAAAAGTAACAGAAGCTGTAATTTTTCTTGCACAAAACAAACTTACATTTTACTTCCTCCAGATAGAACAGGTGAGTTCTCAAGTAGTACGTCTCAAACCTTAATATGAATCACCTGAGGAGCTTGTTAAAATGCAGATTCTGATTCAGAAGATCTGGGTAGGGGTCTGAGAGTCTGCATTTCTAGTAAGCTCCCTAGTGATATCAAATTTATTCATACAGCAAGTAGCAAGCTTCTAAAAAAAAAAAGCGTAATTTACAGTATTTAGATGGTCATTGTTTGCAAAGCACCGGTCTTGATAATGTGTCCAATTAAATTCCTAATTAAGCAACCTAACATTTTTCTGTCCTTATCTTACTTGACCCCTAATACAGACATGATATTTAAGCCCTCCATCATTCTTAATATCTAGAAAACTTATACTGTAACCTTCCTTCTACCTCTCTTTCTTTTTGATCTTTTCCCATGCTCCTCATACATGTGGGTGCATCACAGAATTCCATTCATAGCTTCATCTCTTCCATTTCTAACGCTGTCCCTGGACCACCTACGTGCTAATGGTCCAACTTCTGCATCTCCGGCCTAGATGTCTCCCAGTCTTACATCCATTTACTCAACTACCTAACAGACATTTCTATTAGTCTTCACAAGTACCTCAACATAAAATATCTCAAACTGAACTCATCAATACCTTATACCCCTAGAAACCAACTTTTTCAACCCTGTATTGACTTTGTGACCAGCATCACCATCCACCCATTTGTCCAAACCACATTTTTTTAAGACTCCATCCTTCTCCCTCATCAAGTGCAATTAATCCCATGTTCTAATTATTTCTCAAATTTCATTTCTTCCTCTCTAATGTCAATATCAGTCTGGACATGGATCATTTCCGATCTAGTTACCACAGTAACTGGTTTAACCAGTCTTCTTGCTTCCTATCTCATTTTCCTCCTCAATTCCACCCTTCAGACTACTGTGTAATCTTTGCAAACATAACTTGATAGCTTTTCCCTATTAAAATTCACCAATGATTCCCCATTACTTTTGGGAAAAAGTAATAACTTTTTTTAGCACATCATACAAAGCTCTTCACAATTCTGATTTTGTCTATCTCTCCAGTGTTAACTCCCCTTAACAGTCAGCATGTACTCTTGCCATATCAAGCTATTTGCAGCTCCTTGAAAGTGCCACATTCTCTAATGACTCCATGTGTTTGCATAGGCCATTATTCGCTTTGCTTAAAATGCCCTTATTATGCTAAGTAATCTTCTTTCAAGACTCTACTCAAGCATCACAATCTTTAAAATGCCTTTTCCAATCACTTCAAGTCTGAGTTAGGGAACACCACAAACTGTGCTCCCTCTATTATAGGGTTTTGCCTATATATACCTCTATTCTAGTATTTATCAAACTATATTATAATTGCTGGTTTATTCATCTCTTCCACTAGACTGAGCTCATCAATTAGTCCTTTTAAGAAAAGACTGTGCAGTACATGGTAGGTTCTCAATATATGTTTGCTGAATAAACTGTCTTGAACTATAGTCATGAATAATTATCATGGCTACATATTTAAACTATAAATAACTTCTATTAACTGTGTCTATAACGTAATAAACTTACCTCGCTTTATTTATAGGCTTAACAGAACTTCATAAGACTTCACAGAATTCCTAACATATTCACTTAATTCCCAACAATCTAAAGTTATTTGTGAAAAATATTAGAATAGCTTTCTGAATATTGTGTTAAACTGGGTTATTTTAATTTTACTGACCAGAATGTTTAGACAAATAAAACATCAGTCTCTTCTCCAATGTTTAGACAAATAAAAGCACTAGTCTCATACTCCAATGAGGGAAGGAGTATGGTAAAACGAAGTATCAATTGTTCACGTGGCTTAGGTTTACATACTATTTCTTTTTCTTTTTGGGGGGTGGGTGTACCCCACGGCTTGTGGGATCTTAGTTCCCCAACCAGGGACTGAACCCAGGCCCTTGGCAGTGAAAGCTCTGAGTCCTAACCACCGGACCGCCAGGGAATTCCCTATTTCTATATACTAGCTACATGACCCTGTATAACAATGAACATCTCCAAGCCTCAGTTTCTTCAATGGAAAACAGATAAAATTGCATACCTACCCCACAGATTATTTCGAATATTAAGATATGAATGTGAAAGCATTTCTATAAACCATGAAGTGCTAAACAAATTTGAACTACTATATTAGCTTCCATCCCAACGTATGCTGAAGATTCTAGTTGCAAAATACTTTCATGGGCTACGACAACCTCCCATACGCACCCCATATGTCTCTCCAATGACTGAAAATTCATAAATAAAATTAAGTTACCGGATCACCAGAGCACAAGACTTACTTAATAGTCCTCAATATTCTTATGTGGTTGAAGTAATTAATGATATTTAACTTAATAATAAACTGATATGTTCTTAAAAAGTGGTTATTGTATAAATCTCAAAGTAAATCTCAAGGTAAGTTGTTGGTACAGTCATTTAAATTTCAGCTCCATTAAAAAAATTAATTGGAGGACAAAAATCAGCAGGGAATATTTAGAGATATTTTCTTCTATTAACTATTTAGACTGGGTACTGTCTATTGACATATAAACTTGATCCTCTAGAGACTAACTAATATGAAAGTTTAAAAGTCACCATTACAAAACCAAGACTTTCTTTGCCCCCAAGTTTCTGGCTTATTTCTCAGATATGCTTGCTGGTCTATCAATTAGAAGAGAAAATTTGCTGCATTTTTCTAAACTAAAAAAATAATAGAGCACATTAATTCTGCTCTCAGCAATATCTTTCTTTGTTAAATAGGGACTTAGGAGGATTATGGACTATATTAAAAGAACTGTTTTCAGTCCCTTTTCCAATATTTATAAAAATAGGATTCCTTAACTTTCAAAGGGCAAAACTCCTTTTAAAAAAAAAAAAGAAAAAACAAAATCTACTACAAAAGTCAGCACTTCGGTACCTGATTGTGGTAACAAGGCCAAAATCCAAGACGAAGCCCTTTATTGCACATCGTGTTCCAACATCTTGGGCAGCCCCATCTTGCGACCTCTCCAGATTGGCTGCTCCTGCTCTCTCTACTGCAGAGAGAACTTCAATTAGAGAAATTCTGAAGCTCGTAAATCTAAACTGGATACTCCCCTCATTGGAGGTAAGGATGGTAAGAATCACTAAAAAGATTCAAATTAGAGAAGGTTTCATATATATCTAAGTGGCTTGAAACCACTATAATGCAGGCAGCTGAGAGTCTTATTACGCAAGTCTATTTACCTAAAAAAAAAAATCTTAAGGAAAAGAATGGCAGCAAATTATTAGATAACCTGAAAAAATAGGTTATATAATCTTAAATCTCTAAAGAGGAAATATTCTCCACTAAACCTGTGTAGAATTTATATCTATAATACAAACTTATAGCTGACCATTCATGTTCATAATCCTTATGAGAAAAGCAAGCAAGAAAAAAACTAGGACACATTATCAACCACTTTTCATGCCCTAAAATAACTTCATTGAAAAAATGATTGGTTAAAAAACACTGGTTAGGAAGGAGAGGTTTCCCTGCTGACTTAAGCCTAGCTGCCCAAGCAAGGCTTTAGAAAATGTCTTCACCTACAACAGTGCAAAGGCAGAAGGAGCAGAGGCTATGGCGGTCTTCCTAGTGACACTTCCAAGTCACATAAATGGGGTATGTTTCTGGGACAGACTGCCAACAAGTTACTGAAAGAAGAGAAACAAGAACAGCAAAAACCTGACAAATAAACAGGCCAATGCCCTCATGTGTTTTATTATGACATAAAAGGTAAGTCTTAACTAAAGTTACCTTGAGGCTATCAGATCAAAATCACACCCTCCATACTAACATTATCCAATTTGTGAAATACTGAATTGGTTTTCAAACTGATTTTCCACAAAAATTTGTTCCACAAAAAATGACATAAAACATGTATAAAACATTTCTTAGACCAAGCAAGTAAGAAGCCACATCCAAAAGAACTTCAGGAATTAAGATTTTTCAATCAGTTATAAAAAAAACAATTTTAACCACTTTTACCACCATGAATTTTAATCAAAAGTGTTCTGGTATGTGCTATGCAACAGAATGAAGTTAAAACTTTTGAGATACTGTAACCTGTATTTTCTAAATAATTTAACAATGATTTTACCTTACCTGAGTGTGAAAATTTGAAATGGTGGTTGTTTCAATATCTTTCTTGCCAAGAATTTCCATTTTCACTGGAGTGTTGGGGAAATTAAAAGCAAAGTAGTCCAAGAAGTCTGGGAGATAAGCGGCCGCTCCATGCACTATTGCTAAAGCATAGTAAGCAGCATTTTTCTCGTTTTCACTGAATGTCAAAGCAAGAAACTCCTCAGAAAATCTCTCCATCTCCACTGGAGACAAAAATGAGAGTTCATCCATGTAAGCATGAAGGACAAGAGCACCACCATTGGACTGGTGTTCCTCATGAATAAAGTTGCTAAATTTAGTACCTGTTTTTAAGAAATTTCTACGAATAGAATGTTCCTGGTGAGTCATAAAGGGTGTTTGTACTCCCTGGGGTACCCGATATTCTTGCATGCCCAAATTTAATCGACACAGCTGTTCATCTTTCAGATACCTGAAGGACTCCTTACTAACTCCTGAAGTGCTATTTATTTGTCCTTGGGTGAGGATTTCCTTACTGATGCGGGTCAGGCCAGCACAGATGGTTTGTACTTCCTTATTGTACATTTTAAGGCGTCTTCCTCGCATATCTTCTCGGTGTTTCTTTTTCTTTTTCTTCTTTATTTTCTTCAAGACAAAATCATCAGCTCTCTGGGTTTTACCATTTTCATCTGGTGTTTCTGGCCACAATAATTAAAAAGAAGTTAGTTGCTAGGCTTAATGTCAACATACAAGCTTCTTAAGGTATGCAATCTCAAATTAAATAGCCTATTCTCAGTTTCTCTGAATTTACCACTATAATTCACATGTTTATAAAATGAATGAGACAAAGATCTTAAAATACAAAAATATTCTGGATTGAAAATTATGCTAAAAAGTAGGTAATGCAAAGGTAAGCATGTAACTTAATATGACTTACAATCAAAACTAAAGATAATATCCAAATAATTTCACATATGCCATACTGTATGGAATATCTGTTCAGGAACCACTGTAAAATCTAAATTAAAGCTCGCCATATTTTGTTGTTTGTCTACAAGTTACTATGATATATACAGGCAAATCAAAGACAAATTAAGCTGTTAAGACACCATTTTGCCTAACAAATTGGCAAGATTGGGGGTGGGAAGAAATTGTTATACACTGTTGCTAGAAATATAAACTGGTACAACCTTCATGGAGGGCAATTTGGTACCCCCAAAATGAATATGCACCAAAGCCTTGGAAATATTTATAATTCTTGGTCCCCTAAATTCCACCCCCAAGTAAAAATTACCCAAGAAAATAACTAAGAAAAGATAACATAAAGATATCCACGACAGTGTTATTTAGGGAATCCCCTAAATGACTAAAAACAGAATATGGATTAAACTCTGGTACTTACATACTGATAAAATACTACCCAACCATTCTAAATTATATTATAGGTAAAAAGAACTGACAAATTACAAGGTTATGAAATGTTTACATTGTCACGCTTCCAGAAAGCCTTCTCTAACAACTCT